GTGTCTGTTCCTCTTACTCAAACTTTCAGTGGTGACTGCAGTGAGCAAGGCAGAAACTGGGCTGAAGCTTGAACTCAGGAAATGCACACACACACACACACACACACACACACACACACACAATAATTTCCTAAAACGAAAACAGATTCCTCTGCTCCCACACTCCTCTCTCTCTCTATGCAGCTGGACATGTTTTTGGAGCTCGAAAACTTTTTTAGACATTGCCGTCTTGTTTTCCTATTGGTGGCAAGAGTTTCCATGCGCGCTGTTTTATGTCAGTCTTCTGTGAAAGTGTGTTTGTGGGAATGTGTGCTCTGGTTTCAGTATTGACTTGAAAAGGGAGTTTCTTACTGAAAACAACACAAACACACACAGCTGTCACTCTGTGACTCACAGTCTCACCATCATTACATACCCTTCATTTACAGTCATGAGCCAATGAAAACGCTTGTATTTTAATCCAAAACATATCTAACGTTTTGTGATGTTCAAATAACAGTTCCTGCCTTCATTTGAAAGTAATTAGGCCTAATAATCAAACTAGCAAACTAACAAAAGATGAAATGTCTGTAAGGTAACTAAGGCTGTGTTTAATTATAATTATCTTTAAACATGTACATTTATTTTAAAGTTTACTGAAATGAATCAATAAGAAGGAAAATAATTTAATGTTTAATACAAATTACTATATGCAAACATGAAAGCTGCTCTATCTGTTATGATATTATACTATCAAGTGTATATGATTACCTGTAAATCTTGAGTTGTGTCACGCGCAACACTTTTAAAGAATGACAGAGACCTCAGAAGCCGATAAATTCAGTATAGACACACATGAGACATATTAAGAGACATAAATGAGATCGGGGTCTGTACCAGAGAGAAGAGGTTGGAATGACAGTCTTCTAAACTCGCCCCGTTCGCCACCCAGTTCGCTGCTGTAGTCATAATCACCCGGAGCCGAACATCCCGATTAAAGCCAATCAGAGCCGAACACCACAATTAATCGCAGCAATTAATCGCACAATCCATGCCGAAGATCAGATGAACCAAAGCACTAAACATGTTCGTATGTGAATCTTCTGCTTTTTTTAGTTTCTCACTGGATTAAATCCGTAATCGGTCCGAATCGAATCACCTTCAGCCTCGAGTGTTTTTTTAATCCATGACAGATGAAGCGTCCATAAATCATATAATCCACAACACGACAGATTGACGCTCGTGAAGTTTCAGATCATCCGGTTGACAGTGAATTGAAGAATCGGTCAGATGTCACACACAGGCACATGATCACATGCAGCTTTCACTTTAATCACACACATACACACACTGAAACAGCGCATTAAAATCCTTCCGATTTCCTCCTCACAGACTGAAGTGAGCGGTGAACACATCTTCCTCTTTTCTCTGAGAGGCCATGACGAAACAACGACGCCAGACACACATTATAAAGATCATTCGCCAATAATCATCCACACAAACACGCAGCGTTGTTGAAATGACTCCAGAATGAGCGCGTATTGTTCACGCATGGCTCATACAGCAACGCTGAGCGCGCGCCCGCGTGCGAGCCTGTGTTTCTCTGTCTGTCTGTCTGTGTGTGTGTGTGTGTGTGTGTGTGTGTGTGTGTGTGGTCACGTGATCAGGGATTACGGCAGCGTTGGAGAATCTGCGGTAATTACGCGGTTCGGCCGCTAGAAGCGCTGCTGATCATCAGCGTCTTATCTTTTTAATCTTTTTGACATGTTTTGACACACTAAAAACGTTCAGTTAATAATACACTGTTATAGAATGTGATTATTTTATATTGTTTGCGAGAAATGAGACCTCGATGTTGGCGTCTCTATGGCTTAAAATTAAGGCTAATTTTCTTGTTCATGTGCTGCTGACATGGATGATTAATAATCATTCAATCCACCATGATAATTTTCCCACACAGTGTAAAATAATGTTCCATTACATCAAGAGTCTGTTCACATCTTTGATAATTGCCTTTAGTACAAATTAAACCTGTGATCTACAATATATGCAGCTGTTGATCACAACAAACACATTCTTCTACAACTTCTTTCAGTATCCTGAAGAAAAGATCAAATAAGTATATCAAACCAAAATCTTGGTTCAAGTCTAACATATTGTTAGTTGGTCAGTTCTTAAAATCCGTATCATAATTTTGTGTGTTGAATATTTGGGTATTGTAGGTATCAGTTTGTTCACACTGTAGTATATTAAACTCAATTTCTGATAAAACACTAACAGTCTTATGCCTAAATGGATTATGCAGTTCTGAGGCTGATTTAATAAGGGCTGTTCAGAACAATGCACTGAAATCCTGTGAGGCCTGACCCAAATGCTATAAACTTCAGCGGCACAATCAATGTTGTGATAAGAACAGAGGCCGTATCCCATTTGCCAAATTATGGTTATTTCCGTAATGCATTGTAAAGCCCAGCTGTATCTGATAACCTGCTCTGCTGGAGAAAAGTGGATTCTGGCATCGTGCCTCTTCTTATTGCTAAACGAGAGAGTGAGAGAGAGAGAGCGATGTATCAGAAAGATTAGAGCTGAGCACAGCACATATCGATCGCACAGCTTCAAGAACATGGCAGAATTCATTTGTAGTTTTTTCATCTTGTTTAATATGCCTAGCAGGTCTTGAAAGGTCTCTGCTAAGCAGCAGTCCAGTCATGTTGTGGGGAGTTTCAGAGCTAATATACAGGATGTTCTCTGGTAAATCAAAGGTCCACTTTTGTATTTAATGCCACAGAATGAGTTCGAGTTGAGGGAGACATAACATGCTAATGATTTTGTCTAATGAGCTTTTATAACATTTATGACTTTAATAATGCATTTGACACTGGAGGCCTGAATACAAACTTCAAAAGAACAAAAGATCTCTTACACTATCTCATCGCATTTATGATATTAGAGATGCTTGCAATCTTGCAAGTGTCATTCTAAGTTTCTCTACACACAAAAAGTTTGTCCTCAATATATGTACAATCCATTGAAACAGTTTAGTGCGGCAACAAATCAACAGAGAAAATCCCAAACATTCATTGCTTACACACACACACACACACTCAGACAGACTCCAAACACCTCAATGGCATTTCCTGGAAAAGTGGCTGTCTGGCAGAAGAATAGATGGCGCACATTATAATGAACAGAGTCTGACACAAGCTCATCGATCATCCAGCCAGGGAAAATTATAGCACTGTGGTCGCGCGAGAACCTCTCATAACCACTTCACAAAGACACAGCACTGCTCAAACAACATGGAGTCCAACCTTGCTTTCTCCTGAATGAAACTACTGTTGATTAGACTTTTTTTTTTGTCAAAAATTATCACCTTTTAAAAAATGCTTGTAAATCTCTCACTATGCTATATTATCACCAAATCTTGGATGCAATCTTTTTGTCAGCGTGTTTTATTTCAACTAGTACAGGTTTTGTATTTCTTTTTAGAGCTGATTGATTGTAGGTCTCATTGATCTGAGCTTATGCACTTCAGTTTTAGTGTTAAAGGGGCCATCCGATGCCAATTTTCCACAAGTTGATATGATTCTTCAGGGTCTTAAAGAAAAGTATGTAACATAGTTTGGTTAAAATATATTGCCCTTATAAATTGATTAGTTCCTTATTTCTGATGTATATAAACCGATTGTATGTTTAATAAATGAGGCCGCAGAACTGAACCAGACTCCCAGTGTATTACTGACACTGCTCACATGCAAATGCTCAGAGATGTGGTAGAGAACATCAAGTGACCCGTCACAAAATACTATGCCATTTAAGCCTTATACCCAGCTAAGATCATTTTTACTTGATCTTTTATTTAACAACTTATAATAAACCTAATTTGAGGCTTTGTAAAAAAGTTTGTGCTACAAGAAACTATCAACTATGACTTTTCATACATCGGTTTGTTGACATGAAGGGCAAGAAATGTTTTTATCCTTTGAATATTCACAGAAGATCAATCACCATTTAGCTTTTCTAAGCGTGGAGAGATGTGGCGACTCCTGCCTGAATCAAAGAGCCGTCTAAGTGACAGATGAACAGTGTGGTCGTTCTCCCTGCCGCTCCGAACAAAGCCTCCATCACAAGCTTCTACAAATTAATTCAATTCATCAGCCCTTTGTCTCCTCGGGCCTCCTAGTGTGACCTGATATTGCTGGAGGCTCCTCATAATGAGTGTTTGTGGATGTGATCAGGGGCCGGCGTTTGCTCAGGCAAATTAAAACATTACTCTCACAGTACCTCTGTGCTTCTCCAACCCGCCAATTGCAGCAGATTTCTAATTATTGTAATGAGTGAGAGATTCAGCCCTAGGGAAACCGAGAAGAGAAACACTCATGTTTGAGAGCAGCGTGAGACACAGTGACGTCAAACCCGTATCCAGAGCTCAGACACCAGCTGAACGCCATTGAGACTCTCCTCTCATATTGTAGTGCCTTATGACCTGCACAGCATCATTTTACATAACAGGTCTGTTTAAGTTAGTTTTGTTTGTACAGGCACTTTTCCGCTTTTCATAATTTTCTCATAGCATAAATTTAATGTTTAGAATACCTTAATTTATCATAGTCCATGTCGAATAGTTTAGATTAGTGGTTCTGATCCAATGATATCCGCAAACTCATCACAATGAGGCATCAAAATGACTCAAAATAAAACCAGCTTAAATACAAGACAAAAAAAATAGGATTAAACTCAATATACTGTATTTCTCATTTTAGTTTAAAAAAAAAAAAAAAGTCCAGAGTCTTGGAAAACCCGGATATATAAATAAAGCATTTTTTTTTTTTAATAATTTAAATCTAAATCCACCTTTTCAAGCACTCTGCTTTTCTTTTACATGTCCATCTGCTCACACGTGTGCAGATATCAGTCACTCAGAGGAAGAATAGAGGAGGTCGTCGATGGATAATCGGGGCTCCAGCGCCCCCTGATGGTCAAAACTCCAGCACTAACAAGAGAATGAGAAAAACACTGCAACCAGTTCAAAATATTTATTAAAGCTAATCAGTATTTGGTGAGCAGATCTCTGCTGGGTCTGTAGCCCAAGCGTCCTCCTCTCCAGAAACACAGGTAGTAGCTCACGGCCAAAACTCCCATGATGGTCACCAGCGCTGCTGCCACCGAAACCACCAGCAGCCACAGCAGAGCTTCAGTCAGACCTACACAATCCAGAACACACACATACACACATCAAAAACTCATTCGGTCACACGGCCTTTAATAAACATCCTGCTGAAGAGCACGGACCATGTTCCGTGCTAGACTGTGTGTCCAGAGATGTGTCGCTCTGAGATTCATCCTCCATCATAAACGGCCCCAAAACTTTACGAGCCGACATGCCTAGTGGAGAAAATCATGTCAATCGTTAATGGTCACATCGCACAGATCAGATGCTCCTGATGGCAGAACATTCGATGGCTTACCTTTCGTGGAGTCTGTCCTCCAGAAGCACGTGGACTCGCAACAGGAACACGCGTAGCTCTGGGACGGATCATCCAGGAGCTCCCATCTACCACAAACCACACGTCACAAAATATTCAACAACAGAACAAGCTCCTCGGAGTCTACATGAGATCCAGAACCTCAAGAATTAGTTCATGATTAGTTTGAAACCGAAATCGGTTTGACCTGCGCTGCTGCTGCATGTAGTGACACGCCTTCCTGTCCACACGCTGGATGTCCCACGCTTCCAGATCACAGTGCAGGAAAATCTGCCACACAAACACTGACCAACTGAGAATGACATCAAACAAAGACACATAACATCCTGATATAAAGCACAGCCCTCACATTCTGTCCAAGAGCAAACGTGAAGGCTTGGAGATCGAGGCGTATTTCAGCAGGATGACGCCTCGGCAGAAAGCTGGAGTTTCCCGATTTACTTTCCATCAGACACCTACAAGCGACAAGTAAGCGTCAGTAAACACACAGATACACATGATGAGCGCCCATGTTATGTTCGGTCATTCTGACTGACTTTGCTCACACAAGGTATAACATTTTCCCAAATAAATGTGATAACATTTATGCATTTCACACCTTGTTACAGTCAAATTTTAATTAAATACACAGTCGTTGTGCACATCCAAAACCCGTGATTAGGCTCATGAGCAGGATAAAACAAACCTGAATTAAAGCAAAAGAACTAATGTCTGCACACTTAACTTGGGCTCCAAAAGAATTTATACCCATGCTTAAATAGTTGACAAAAACGTTCCAAAATTAATTTTATTTGGTTCATTGTGCAGACATGTATTCTTTTGCCTTTATTTCAGTTAGCACAGGTTTTGTGTTGCTTTTTGGAACTGACTGATGGTAGGCCTCATTGATCTGAGCTTACGGACAGCAGGTATTTTTTTTAGGCGAATAATCTTGCGAGAACTTCTTTCACTCAAAAACTGAGGTGCATAAGCTCAGATCAATGAGACCTACTATTAATCAGATCGAAAAAGAAACCCAGAACCAGCGCTAATTGAAATAAAACAAGTTGACAAAAAGATTGAATCAGAGATTTAGTGATCGTATAGAAGACCGATTTAAAAGTTTTTTTTTTTTTTTTTTTAAAGGCTGGGAACACCAAATTAAGTGAAGGATGTTAGCAAATGGTGAAGAAAGCCACGTGTGGTTACCCGACATTGGCGATGATGGGATGCACCTGAGCGGCGCGGCTGATGTTGGCATCCGTGGCAGCCACACAGCTCTCCATGAAGATTTTCAGCGGCCTGTGGCTCCGTGACTCCACCGTGGCTCTGATGGGAATAATGGACCCAAGCTGGAACCTCATAGACGGAGCCGGAGCGCTGAAATCACCTGCGGACCATCAGTAGAGTCATCATCAACTTCCTGAACATGATAAACTCAGGTGTTCATGTGTGACCGTTCAGCAGCACATGCACCCTCCGCTTATGTCTCACCCTACTGACACTGCTGTTGATTTTAGTGCTATATACACATTTAATGCATCGCCACATGAAACCGTATCTGCACCCCATTTACTTTCATAATGGGTTCATTCCTGGTATTCTTCTGTGCCATTTGACATCATAAAACAGGAAAAATTGTGATATTTGCTGGATTAAAATGCTGTACAATGTTATCACCTTCACTATGCTTAAAGTTCAAATGGGGATATTTATGTGTTAAAACAACTTGAAAACTTATATTCCACGTAATTTTAAGGCAGTAAGATCAGTGTGGTAAGTGAGGCAAGTTTTAAGGGAAGAGCATGATCTTTACGCTGGACACAAAAAGGCACTGAATACCAGAATGACCCAATGTGACATATCGGAGTGAAAAAGGATATTCACTGATTATAATGTGAATTTAATTCATGAGGATTGTGGTCAAACGTGTCTGTAAATTAGTTTGAGATGAAGCAAGTTGTTACTTTTATTAAAAGTCTCTGAAGAAAATAAATCAGGGAATGAGTGCTGAAGATGAGGAGGAGTAATGTAAATGAGAGTTTAACACTAACTGTTCATAAGCTCCATGCTGAAGGTCGCCAGTCCTTCATTCTCGTCTTCCACAGCGCTGAATGCTGTCGTCGTGCTTACAGCTCTGTGCAAAACAAGCTCAAAGACTGAATGAAAGCTTAAACTCATCTCTCCATCATTAATTTGGTGTAAATTGATGTCTTTTCACAGTGGCATACCGGACATCTATGAAGACCCCTGTAAAGAACGAGATGGGGGCCCCTCCCACCCGTGATGTCATGTACTGCATGAAAAATTGTGCACCTGCTGCAACATACTACGGAGTCTGTCTCCCCAATTTACATAACGGTAATGAATGTGGTGAATTATCATAATGATAATTGAATAATCATTGCATTGATGCACTTTGAACAACATTATAGGCTATTATAGGCAAAACTAACTTTAAGGGTAAGAACAGGTAAAAATAGCTCTTTAAAAAAAAAGTTGCACTTTACCACTTTTTACAGGTGGTAAACGCTTAAGGTAAAATTTTGCGTGGGTTGTCCTGGGTTCTTCTGCAGAGTTTGATTTTTTTTTTAATAAGTCTTAATGCATAGCTAGGCCATGTTAAGCGTACAAATATCCATCTCGATTACGGTGCCGTTGTCTTAGAAGTAGCCTACAGTGTTTATGACAAATAAAATGTGTGAGAAAATTGATTATCCCTGGTTGTCGTTTTAGAACATTAAGCCAGGTTAAGCGTTTTCACGCGTTTTCCACGTACTCCACTGCGCTACCTTTGCGCACGCATCGCGCGTCTTTCGCTCCCGAAATAGTGTCTCGAGTCAAAAGAAGTCTAACGGTGGGGTCCCGGTGGTGTCCCGTGCGCCACTGTCTCATCACCTACGAGTCATAGACGCACTGGACCGATTGGGAAATGAAAGGCAGCTCCGGCCGTCGGTCATAGATCAGCATGTTGGAGTACGTCACTCTGTCCGCCGTCACCTGTCAGACCGGTGGAAGAGAATCAGCGAGAGGTTTCTGGGTGAATCTCTGAATCACGCTCATGTACCTGTTTGAGAAAGCCACAGTCTCGCAGTAACACGTAGAAGAGCAGCGTGTCGTCAGACACCGTGAAGCTCGGCGGACAGTTTCCCAGCAAAGCTCTGAACGGATCCAGTTTTTGAGACGAATCCAGTCCGGGTCTCCAGCGGACAGTGACCGAATCATCGCCGCCGCAGTCTACAGACAAATCTGAACACAAACCGCTCCAGTTAACGAACACACACGTACTAAGACATAATATTGAGATGAGGAACTTACCATTCTGTGCCATTGCAGCGGCTACAAACATCAACAACAGCCGTCCTGAAATCATCTTCAGTCAAACAACAGCAACATCTCTCCCCTGCTTTAGTGGATCTGATAGTAATCAGGTTAACCAGCGCCAGCTGAGCGTTAACTCCGTAACCAGCCGCTCTCTCACAGGTGTCAATCACGAGGGTTTATGGAACCCTCCTCACCAGAGGCCCGTTTCAGAAAGGAGGTTAAAGGGGGGAGGGGTACAATGCTGTTTCATGCATTCAGAGTTGTTTACACTGTTAAAGAGTTGGATTCTCAAGCTAAGCATGGACAAAGTTTCAAAAAACGATTTGGACGTATGACGGAGTATTTCTGTGCCAAAAATCTTACTTCGGGGTTCGTACAAGTTTCGGAGAGTTTTTGTTCGATCGTGGCTCTTCATGACGTAAATGAGGGTGGAACTCCTTATATGGGCATTTCTCCCGGAAGAACGAGCGAGATCGCGCCCATCAACGCGCTTCATCCGGCACCCAACTGCTCCTCACTCTTTAGCTCCGCCCACGGCAAGCCTCCAGGAGCTTGGCTTTTTCCGGAGAGAATCTTAAAGCTGTATCTTTCTTTTATAAATATGATAAAACTAAATACTTTTTGGAGATATGAATGCATACTCTATAGGTACTCAAGATTAACATGAGATTGGGTGAAACTGTGCGTTATGCCCCCTTTAAGTGAAAACTCTGAGTATGTTAACCCTGAAATGAGGGAAACTCTGGGTTCCCTTTCGATTCGGTCACTCTACATTCCTATGGGAATTACCCTTTCCTCCAAATACTACTGAAGCCTTATTGGCGTTCAAGCACGCGAAATATGAGGGGCTCCCACTCTATATAAAGCAGCGCTTGTACGTCACCTATTCAGAATCTTTTTCTTCAGCCAACCTTCTACGAGAAGCAAGAAGCCTATCAACAAGACTACTCACCGTGATCTACCCGCTGCAGCGGACACGCTTTCTCTTCCCCTGCTGTGTTCCGGTGAGCTTCGGAAACAAGGATGACTC